CACCTCAAACATTGGAAAGAATTTTGATGAATACTATAGACATTAATTCGAAAGCATGTATGAGAACACTGAATACACATTGTATAAAGGAACCAAAATTGGTTTATGCCAAAGTGTTATAACAAAAAAACAATTATAGGATTTGTAGCATTCTTGCCTTGGCTTTGGAGAAGTCTATCAACTTAATCTCCAAATAGAGTTCATTTTTTTTTTAGGAAACTACTTGGAACTAGAATGAGATAGTCCTCTTTAGCATAATGCATTTCAAGCTTTATTAAAAAGCTACAAACCAAGACGAAAATAAACCATGCTACACTATATTAAAAACATACTACAAATTGATTAAAAAAAATAGGTAACACACTTTACTACACATAAAAAAACCAAATAAATAGAAAATTGGTTTGCATATGTCGAGTTTGAATGAAATAAAATGCAACTGACTTGAAACCCATTTGTAATATTTGGAAGGTGGATAAAAAAGCTTAGATTTAATTTCACCTTCAAAGAAAAATGTCTAAGCAAGAACATGAACAATTGATAAACTTACCTTCTTAAAAAACAACCAATAGGAATCCATCCTTTTGCTTGCTTTGCTATGGGCCAAACTTTAATTAACCAAGTTCTGCTTCATCTTCAAGGTGCATAATGCAAGAGAAATAAAAACAATTAAGTTAGCAACATGCATGCACAGACACAGACTATGGGATGTGTATTTTACCCTATTTCATATGTGAACACATGTTCATTGTTAGAAGATACTTGGATTTGGTGCCAATGTTTTCTCCACGTAGTCATGGTGCTTTTTCTAGACTTTAGAAGATTTATTGCTAGGATTCTTCCTCCTAGTTACCTAATAACGTATTATCCGATCTGACAATAGGTTCTAACTATAAAGTCAGTAGAGCTTATGTTCTAAAAAAGAAATCAGTAAAGATCACTTTACCCAGTAAAAAAAAAAATCGCGTATTCATCTATTTCATCTTAAAAAGAATTAACTTAAATGAAGTAAATACAAAAGGATGTGGATAACACATCTCAATATTTGGTTTGATGGTGAGTGTATATATGATTTTTTTTTTTGAAAAAATCAATATTAAAAATAATAAAAGTAAAGAATTTCCATTAACAACACTTTGTTTGAGGTGTGCTATTTCCTTGAAAAAAACAACTAACTTGAAAAAAAATAAAGCATGATGGTGTGTAACGGTGAATGATGAAGAATAGCAATGACTACTAAGAGGTACTGTCAATCTTGTTGAGGATCACCATAGCTCTGATATCACTTGTTGAGAAACTAACACGCATATGCAGAACCCACACACAAAATAGTAAGCTTAAATTAAGAATAAGAATGCAAAAATATCTTTGTTTCGGCCTAACTCAAAATAGCCTATTCTAAACCCAATCCACTAACAAATAAATATTTACAACTATGAGACTTTTAGAATGAAAAAAGTCATCAAAAATTTTTTACTCAAAACCCAATTATACATTTTTAATAACCTATTCACTTAGCTATTTTCTTAGTGTCTAACTATTTGTGATTATCAAACTAAAACTAAAACATCTTATTTATAAGGTGAAACCCCTTATACATTTACTAAACTCCTGATGTGGGATACAAAACAAACTCAAACTCTTATAACTTTACTTAACTTGATGTGAGATTATGAGATTTAAGGTAAACCCCAACAAATCTTCCTTGACTTGAATCTCCAAATACTTCAACAGTATTTGTAAAACTGACACGTTTACCTTTCTTCTTTTCCTTCATCACAAGAATCTTAACAACTAAGCCTCCATCCAACATGTACAAGTGATTTTTGACTCTATTCCTTTATAAAATCACACTACCATTCTTGTACACTTTGTAGCTACAACTCGGTACATACTTTACATTACAAAGCATCCTAATAACTCTATTGTGAGATCTAAGGTGAACACTCCTAATGCCTTGAATCTATATACTTTCATTATTGGCAACCATAATATCCCCATACTTCACATTCTCTTTCGACTCTATAAAACAACTCCTATCATTACAGACATAAACTATAGCAGCTGAATCTAAAACTCAATATTTATCATCTTTAAAAGCTGAGTCTCATCCACACAAGTCATCAAAACGACATTATCATCATTAGATACAACAACGACACTATCACTATCTCCTTCATTCAATTTTTTCTTATCATTTGCCCTTTTGAAAGTAGTCATATCCCTTCTTAGCTTCTTGCAACGTACTTGAATATGTCTCTTTTCACCACAATAATAACATTCTATATCACTGTAATCTTTATCTCTTGACTTGGATCTCCCTTTTGATCTATCAACCCTTTTTTAAGTTCTTTTTCGATCAAAACCCTCTATAGCTAATGTACTCCCTCCAATAGATGAGTTCTGTGTTCCCATAAGCATTTCGTTCTCACGCAACATGACAATTACATTATCCAACTTTAAAGTAGACCTACCCACCAACAATGTCTGAATTAAAGGTTTATAAGACTTGGGCAAAGATGACAATAAAATTAAAACATTTTTTTCATCTTCTAACTCATCAACAGAAATCATCAACAATTGAGAAACCAATATATTAAATTCATTTAGGTGATTATGAAAACTCATACCTTTTTCTATCTTGAGAGAATATAAATCAATCTTCAAACATAATCTGCTAGTCAATAACTTCGATGCGTAAATACCCTTAAATTTATTCCACAAATTTTTTGGAGTACTCTTAGTCAATACATTATACGTTACCTCTAGGGCTAGCACCAATCTAATAGTACTAACAGCTTTTTTCTTAATTCTATTCCAGTTACTGTCAAATATTCCCTCAGGCTTACTACTCTCTAATGTCTGATCCAACCCTTATTATACTAACAAATCTTGAATCGTATTTTGTCATAACATAAAATTATTTTTTTCTATCAAATAACAAAATTTCAAACTTAGACATAGGCATAATAGACATACATTCTTTAGACATCTTGAAATACTTGCTTCACGATCTCTTGGGCCTGTTTCTTTTTTTCACAAACCTCACTCTAATACCACTTGTTGTGAATCACCATATCTTTGATACCACTTGTTGAAAAATTAATATGTACACGTAGAACCAACACACAAAATAGCAAGCTCAAATCAAGAATAATAACACACAAACATATTTGTTTTGGCCCAACTTAAAATGGTTACTACAAATAAATCTTTACAACTGTAAAACTTTTAGGATGAAAAAAGTAATCAAAAACTTTTTACTAAAAACTTAACCTATAACTCAATTATATCATTTTAATAGCATATTCACTTAGCTATTATTTTGGTGTTTAATTATTTGTGATTATCAAACTAAAACTAAAACATCTTATTTATAAAGTGAAACCCATTATACCTTTACTAAACTCTCGATATGTGATACAAAATAAATTTAAACTCTTATAACTATTGATATGGGATTATAAGATTCAATACAAACTCCAACAAATCCAACAGGATTTGGTTGCACTTGGGTTCAATTATTTGAGATCAAAATAGTTGAAAAAAATAATCAATTTGATTTAAGTTTGAATCCCATCGTTTTGAATTTAGATTTTTCTAGCTGTTAAAGTTTTAAAAAAGTGAATAAACTTTTAATTGTTTTCTATTTGTGTTTTTATCGTCTTTAAGGAATGATAAAATTAGAAAAATAAGAGAATAAAATATATATCTTAGACATTGATATTATCAATATTAATTTTACAAATTAATTTTGTCAATAAATTTCGATTGAAATTATTATTTTATTGTAGATTTGCTATTTAGTTATTTTGATTTGTTTTAAGTTCAAATATTTAAATCAGTTTAATTTTAAGTCATTTGGAATTAGATTTTCAAGTTGTTTGAATTTAAATCATTTTAAAATTAAAATAATTCAAGTTAAAATTATTTTAACTTTTTTGGTCAAATAAAATTGAATAAACGAATCTTTTTCTGTTCAGATCGGCTCATACGGGACGAGCGATGAGTGACTGCCCAACCATCGCAAAAGATCGGCAATATAACTTTTTGTTTTTTATTCTTTCCACCAATCTGATGCAAATATATCTTTCTATAATCTAATGATTCATTATTAGCATGTATTAAAAAATAATAATGTGAACTTAAATATCTCAATGACACCCTCTCAGCTTGTCCTTAAAACAAGAAAATGTTGCACTATATCATATCCAGAATTGGCCACAGCTTTAACTTAATTATGCAATGCATGTACATAGTTGTTCCTTTTCCAATTACAAATTCACTTTCCTTCGGATTGGATCTAATTAATACTTATTATATCTTGATTTTGAATTTTGTGATTGTACTTTACTTTTATTAAATTTGTTAATATTGTATTATTCTTTTTGGTACTTAAAGTACATTAGAAATTCAATTTTAATTATTAAAATTAAAAGTTCAAACATACCAACTATTAAATAATTTATTAGAAATGCAAGACAGCCAATTAAAAATGTCACAAAATCCCTTGCTCTTTGAGAATGTTCTTAGCACCGGAAAACATATATTAGAGTGTATGTGCAACTTGTTTAGATCATTGGCTGAGAAAAAAGAATCAACGAACAGTACCAACGAATAAAATGGAGTTCTTCCGTTCATTATCTAAAAAAAATAGATTTATCATATCTTTTTATTGTGTATGAAAAGCCTTTAGCAACACTATGCTATTCAATTTTATTGATTTTTGAATAAAAAATAACAAAATTGAAATATTTATAAAATACTTATTTAATATGAATGACAAATTTTGCTCACTCTTTCAGTAAAAATAAATAAATAAAAGATTACTAATTTAGATCAACTTATTGCTGGTAAAAAATAAGACTGCAAAATTTGCACAGAATGGTCGTTTTTTTTTTTTTTTCAAGTTTAATCTTATTAGTGATCTACATTTTAGACAATTTCTAGTTTTAAAAGCAAACTAATTAATTAAAAAAAAAAAAACTCGTAAAATAAAATCAAATACTAAATTCCAATGGTTCAATTCATGTACCAAAAATACTTGATTTAATTCAATTCAAAAAGATATCACATGAATGTGTTTACATTCAAATTTTGGTAGTGACAATACTTGATCAACCTTCCTTTCAAAACTCCACATTACTTTCCTCTCAGAATTCAGATACTTTTTACTTACATGAGTTACCATGAAATTAATATTGAGAGGACATTTAACAAAAACAACAGCAAAGAAAACATAGAATGAGAGGACACAAAACAACCATACACAATAAGAATCCCGCAATCATCCTCCTTGATAATGCAAATGGAAGACCATAAATGATGGAGACAGCACTCTAGTAAATCACACAACAAGTGGAGTGCCAAGTCCTCCAGCGGATAAAGGCTGTAGGGCACGGATTCTAACATCATATTTTCTATGGCTAGAAGATTCATTACCAGAGGATGAATCAGATACGTCAGATACAAGAGGGTAACCTGAAGTTTTATCATCATAAGCATTTCCAATGTGGTTGCCACACTTGCGGCAAAGAAGTTTGGTTCTATGGCGGAACAAGCCCCATGAGTGTTTTGAAAAGTAAGGAATGCATTGGAACTCATCAACTTGTGTAAATCTGCTCTCATCTATATTGAAGAATGATATAATCCCTCGCTTTATAGATTTTCCATATTTAGAGCCAATTGTTGCAGTGTTTCGACTAGAGGAACTTAGGTTTAGCTCATACCCACAAGAACCACAGCTGCAAGAAAGAATTGTTTCCACCATTTTATCTTCAGAAATGTAATCAATTACAGAAATTTAAGTACTTGTAGTATATATCAAAGGTAAGGAAATCAAATTATAACTCACTGACTCAGCAAACCATAAAAATTGAATCTTCAGATGTCTCATCACTATGTCTACCAAGTACCAATTATCAAGCAAGCCAGAGTATGTGAAGAAGTGAAGTTACCATAAATGCAAAATAACATAAATAACCATTTTACCAGCATCCTAATATACCTGTAACATAAATAAGTTCTAGAATAAATATCATCAGCTAGTAACAACCAGAATACTATCTGAAGAAAAGCAAAACACAGAGAAGCTAGCTCATTCCAAATCCCACTTCCCCAATCTATAATTTTTAATATTGATCAAGTAGGCTGCTACAATTGCAGCAATAGCATTCACCATGATATAGTTCAGCAACAGATTTTGCACGGAAATCACAGTGACGAAGCCAATTTCACTAAGATAAATAAGCATTCTAATGGTAAACCAGGGTGGTTTTTTTTTTTTTTTATTTCCGTTCATGTGATCTTTGAAGATTTCTATTTCACCATTGTCACCCCAAGTGGTCCCCTTAGCGATTAATTTAATTCTATAGATTATCTTCTCATCAAAAGCTCATTTAAAATTCAGCCTTGCACTCCGATTAACAGTTAATAATTAACTCTTTATTAATCTAAATCAGTCCCCTGCTTTACAATAAATGGAGACAAAAGGTAAAAACAGAAACTTCATTTAACACAATTACACACAGTCAACGCAGTCAACTTCCCTCATAAATAAATAAATAAATAAACAACAACAACAAAATACCCGGAATCAATAATCTCATAACAAACCAAAACCAAAACCCAGAAATCAAAGTCCAAAATTTTAAACACCCAATTAAAAAAAAAAAGAAAAAAAGAACCAATCAGAATTCACCCAAAAAATGAACAAACCTGTAAGTCACATGTCGTTGAGAAGCAGAAGAACAAGAGTGATAGAGATTTCCATTGAGTTGTTGAACATCTTTCACAAAATCCGATTTCTCCATTATTCGTTTTTCTTCTCACGGAATCAACAGCACTGATGTCGAAAACGGTGCTTGAAAAGACAAACTTTTAATTGAGTTGTTAATTGCTAAGTTGGGTTTGAAAGGAACGTGTCCGCCTGAATCGGGGGTGACGTTAACGGCTCAATTTTCAGGGCTGAGTTAGAGAATGAAAAAAAAAATAAAAAAGAAAATTATCAAAAAACAACAGAAGTTTCTAGAGAAATAGGCACAAGCAAGGCTCCTCGTCGTAAAAGGAGAATAATCTTTGTGGCGTCTTTTGGGGTTTTGCTTTTGGGCTGTCGTCTTCTTAGTGATGATGTGGTATATAACGGAAACAAGAAAGCTTAATTAGGATTAATTAATCAGATTAATACCATTTTTAAGAAATTAAATTGCGGGTTTGGCAGCTGGAACTTATCTTTAATTTACACGTGTTCATATTTTAGTTGTTAAAAAGCCCAAAAGTAGCATTAACTTGGAAGTTAATTGGTTCGAATAATACATTTAACAAATTTAAAGTTTACATTTAATAATTCAAAAACTATTAAATTCATATATTTTTTTTATTTTTAAACTATGGTTTTTTGGAGAAAAAAATATATAGCTTGTTTTTTTGGGTTGTTTTGGAATGATTATTAGCATTGATGGGAAGGAAAGGTCATTGATTAAAAAGGTTTCGCTGATTGCCAATCATTTGACTTTTTTTTAAGAGCATGAATTACTATCTTCATTACTATAGACTAGGAGTCAATTGGGTCTAACAATTTCTTTTTAGTATTAATAATAATATTAAAAATTTTATGATTATTATTAGTAGTAGTAGTAGATTGCTTTCGCATCATCGAGGATATAAGTTTTTTATATATTTTTATTTTTTTATTAACATGTAATAAGATTAAAAATTTTTATATTATAATTATCTTTTTTATTTTTAAATCAAAATAAGTTTGTCATAAACTATCAAAAGATATATATAAATTCAATTCTACAATTCATTCATCTAAAATTAAGTAAATTTCAATAAAAAAAGTTTTAAAAAAATTATCATATGAAACATCACCTGTGAAAGGAATAATATCCTGTTTGACACTTAAATTATTACATTTTTTATGTGATAAATAAAAAAAATTTCTAATCAAGTATTTAACTTATATTTTTATATATTAATTATCTCAATCATTAACATCGTTAACCCTAAATATTGATATGATATAATTATATAATAAACATTGACATAAGTCAAAAAATTTAATCACATCACATCATCAATACAACATCATTATTAAAAAATAATTTCAAAAAAAAATCAAAAAATTTTGAAATTTTCAATAAAAATTCTAAAACATTTCCCAAAAATATTTTAGAATTCTAAAAATTCTTTAAAAAATTTTAAAATTCTAAAAATATTAAAAAATTCTTAAATTTTTAAAATTCAAAAAATTTTTAAAATTTTTAAAATTATAAAAAATTTTATATAATTTATAAAAGAATTCTAAAAATTCTATCAAAAATTTAAAAAATATAAAAAAAAGACATTATCCCAAAAATGGCACATTATCCCAAAAATCGAAAAAAAATCTAAAAAAAAATTTAGAATTTTTATTATTAATAGTAATAGTAATAGGTTGCCCTCGCACCATCGAAGTTATAAAATTTTTATATTTTTATATTAACATGCAATGAGATAAAAAATTTTAATATTATAATTATCTTTTTATTTTAGATCAAAATAAGTTTTTCATCCACTATCAAATGATAATATATAAATTCGATTCTATAATTTATGCATCTAAAATTTTATACTTCAAGTAAATTTTAATAAAAAAAAATTATCATTTGAAACATCATTTATAAAAGAAATAATATCTCATTTGACCTTTAAACTATGATTTTTTTTTTAATGTGATAAATAATAAAAAAATTTTAATCAAATATTTAAACTATATTTTCGTATGTTAATTGTCTCAACTATTAATATGTTAACCCTAAACACAGACATGATATAATTTCCAATAAAATGTTTAACATATGTCAGAAAAATTTAATCAACATCACATCATTAATATAACATCAATATTAAAAGAAAATTTTAAAAAAGAGTAAAAAATTTTTAAATTTCAAAAAAATAAAAAATTTTGAAAAGATTCTTTAAAATTTTTTAGAATTTTAAAAATTTTAAAAAATATTTTAAAATTCTAAAATATTTTTGAAAATATTTAAAAAATCTTAAAATTTAAAATTTCAAAAAATTTTAAAATTTTCTAAAATTATAAATAATTTATATAATTTATAAAAAAATCTAAAAATTCGATCAAAAATTTTAAAAATTAACAAATATTTTAAAATATAAAAAGGGACATTATGCCAAAAATCGAACATTATCTCAAAAATCTAAAAAATTTCTAAAACAAATTTTAAGAATTTTTAAAAATTATAAAAAATTCAAAAAAAATTAGAAAAAAACTTTTAAAGCTTTTAAAAAATTCTACAACCTTTTAAAATTTGTTTTTAATTCTAAAAAATAAAAAATTTTCTAAAATCTTTAATAAATTATAAAAAATCTAATAATTTTTTGAAAGATCTAAAAAGTTTTAAAAATTTTAAAATATTGAATTGGCCAAGGAGAAAGACACAAGAAAATTGAAAAGCTCCCCACATTAAAAAATCCCATTGCCCTTCCCAACATCATCAACGAAACCTCTTAGCCACCTTCGACACCCATAGCCAAGACCTCACTTGTCACCAACCTCCCTTGATCAACACCACTACCAGCCACCATCATTCGGCAATCCACCCACCACCCTTGAATCTTTTCCACTGCCTTCCATACCTAAACCACCACCCTTCACCACCAACACCCACCAATTGAACCCCTAACAACCCTCTCCCTTCACCACCACAAAACACGGCCCCATATTGCCACATAAAACGCACAAAAAAATCAAACACATTTTCTAGAACAGAGAAGCAGCTCAAAAAAAATTCGTATAAGTAAAACTCAAGAAAAGAAAAAACATGGCAATAAAAAAAGGAGCCATGAGTCTCGATTCGGAGCTTTTCTACAGGGTTCGACCTTTTTTTTTTTTTTAAAGGATAAAGGTTAGGACTAGACAAAGACATGCTTTAAAGAAGTGACGTTTGGAATGGTAAACTTTTTAACATTGACAGCACAGGTTCTGTTTCGAAAATTTTATAATTTTTAAAAATTTTTAAATTTTTTATAGAATTTTTCAAAATGAAGGGCTGGTTTTTTGTTATTTTGAAAGAGGATTTTTTTTTTTTTTTTTGGTATGGGAAGAAGAAATGAAATTTAAAAAAAAAAAAAAGTTTAGCTTTGATAAGTTTTGCAAATTTTTTTTGAAATTTTTAGAATTTTTAAAAATCTTTTTGAATTTTTTATTGTTTATAAAGAATTTTCCAAATTTTTAAGAATTTTTTTAGAATTGTTTTTTTAATTTTCATTTAATGCTAACCTAACAGAGATAATGTAACACTCACTAGACTTTTTTAATACTAATCAGCATCTTACTTTTAAATTTAATGGTTGAAATAAATTAACACATAAAAATATAATTTAAATATCCAATTAAAAAATTTTTTGTTTAAGTACCACATTAAGAAAAATGTAATAATTTAAGGGCAAAATGAGACATTATTCCTTTAAGAATAAAAATGTTCTAATAGGTGAAGCTAAAAAAAAACTCTTAAAAAATTATAAATTATTAATTAATTATCGACTTTGAAGCTTTTTATTGATAGCAAAATGTCATAAATAATTCTATAAAGCCACTTTCACATTCCAAATATATTATGCATATTTAGTTTAAATAAGAGTAAATCAGCAGACAAAACAATACAATACAATAACTAATAGAATCTTACATAATGCTTCTGCTATGTTATTAAGGAGAGGATAGCTCTAGCTTTCTGCAATCTGAAAAGGAACAAAGGAAATCATTCATATAATTAATCCCAAAAGACCTTTATTACTTCATCTATAGTTACAATGGTGAAAATATCAGAAAATAGATTAGGAATTAGTTTCAGTTTAGTGTAAATATGACATCATCCAGTCCTATGAAACTGAGTCAATAAGGGGATGAAACAAAAGAAAACCAAAACATGCCATTGAATATTCACTTACATCTTCAGAAACTGTAAATGGCCAAACCAATCCTCGTTCCCTCAAAGATTTATGGAAGTTTGATGATTTCCATTTACAAAGCTCAGCTCCCATAACATACATAGGTTTCCTGCATGAAACCAATAGTGAATGATCACTTGGTATTTCACTGAATAGAATAAACATCCCAAAAAGTTCAACATGTCTTAAAAACATTGGTAAAGAATAATCATACCCAATACTGCAAGCCCACAAACTGCCACATGCATCCCTCTTTCTACTTTCATTTGTATTCCAGATACGATGGGCCTTGAAGAAGAAGGGTCTCAACAAAACTCACCATCCTTAATCTCTACAGCCACCTTTGACATGCCTTGGGGTAGAACAATGGTGGCATCTTCCTGCAATTCTTCCTCCTGCAAGAATCCAGAAATTCGATCCACAGAAACCTTTGTGTGCTCTATCATAGACAACAGGTCTGGAAATAAGATACTCAGCAACAGAAATGAAATCATCAAAGCAATTTTTGGAAGACTTGGTTCTGAAACACCAATCAATTGTGAGCACAATGGATTAAGAGGTCATGTTAATAAAAATCTGGAGATTCGTTTATTACCAATCAAACAAAATCACTAAGAAGTGGCAACAAAGTAAAATTTATGAAGCCAAAATCAGTGACACATACCAAGTTTCACAATTTTAAAGAAAGAAGTGATGTGGGTGTAATAGTGAATTATTGCATTCCACTTTACACTCGAATATAAAAATTCATTTTTTTTATGCAGCTATCAAATAAGAGAGAGAAATACTTAAAAAGTATGGAAGGATTCAATTAAAGGTCTCATAGACTTGGTGCTTGTCAAAACTTTTAATAGTTTCATTGACATGGTGCTTGTAAAAAAATTTTTGTTCAGGAGATTAATGCCATTTTCCTTAGAGATCTCCATCCAGATTATAGTTAATGAAAACTAACCTGCGAGTAATCTTTCCAAGAAAATAAAGAGTGGCTGTAAGGCAATGCAGCATCAGTTTTGGAAGACACAAAAATTATTTAAAATAAAAAATAGAAATTCAACTTAAACTTGCTAATACTTGACATCATCACCCTAATTATCTAAGACTTTGATGAAAAAAATAAACATTTTTACCAATAGAAAATGGAAATAGGAATGTAAAGCAAACCAGAATATAAAGCCTTCATTCATAGCATGAGATGTTTCAAGTTTCTAATGGGCCATGTAAAACTAATCCAGATAAAATTCTTTTGCCATCCAAACAGCTTTTGGGAATTAGGATGTCCTCTGCTTTGGAGCACTTCTAAAATACTGGAAGTATGAAGCAAAAACTCACTATTAAGCCCAGATAAGCCAGCCTAATATAAACTTTGTACAAAAGCTTTTCAGGTTGCAGAATTGAAAAAACTAAGACCTCCAGCACCTGCAGAAACATGGGAAATAGAATACATAAATAATTGAAAGAGCTTATTACAATTTATAGATCCACATATTTCCTTGTGAACAGCTCAAATCAGATACATACCAACATAAGCAAAGAATAAGCAGTACAAAGCAGCAATAATGTCTTAGCACATGCAAATGATAGCAATTAAAAATCAATCTCCAATTAAGCGTATCACCTGACATTAATTTTATGATGCACACCTTTATGGGTCATAACAAATTAAAATGCATATAAAACTCACACCACCAATCAAATACATGTGTCCCACACCCATTTTTCATTAGTTAATGTATAAGGTGGATGGGACCATTTTTCCAATGCTATAACATGAAATGCAAACTTATCCTCAATATCAATAGGGAACAACCTTGCTGCCAAAATAAAGATCTAGGAGGGTGAACTTATTGCTACATTTACACGTACCCAGGATGTTCAAGTGCAGCAAAATAATCAATAAATGCTTAAATAATTAACACACACAAAACCAATCCACTTTGAAATTAATATATTATAAGTTTGCATAAATAATAAAATGGTGCAGCAACTTAAACTACATTCTTACTTAGTATATTCCTCACATTTCTTCCAAAAGTTGTAGAAAGCACAGGAAATCAACATCCAATAGTTATAAATCTCAACAAATTATAAGGATTCCAATATCACATAAAAGGAGGAGGTAAGTTGAGGTTACATACCCAATTCTTTAAGTTGATTGACTTGAGTGACTGTCTTGGGAAGCTCCGCAGCCTTGTTCCACCATTATTAAGTACAGAACTCAATTAACACTTTTTGAAATTTTCAGTCAAATGAATTTGGCAAATAATGATGAAATTAGCTTTATTGATAATATAGTTGATGGAAACTAACCCGCGACTGCTCCTTCCGAGAAGATAGAGAGCGGCTGCATTCAAACAGCAAGTAAGGCCACCCCATGGAATCATCTTAAAAGGGAAACTCAAAACGAAACCCTAATTTATAAAGACTTTCAGTTACAGCCTGGGCCTTGCATAAACCAGGCCTGGGGTTTTCTTCATTGAAAGTGATATCATCGTACATGAAGACAATGATATTTTCCAGACCACCTCTTCTTAGGAGTTGATAAGCATGACAAACATCAGTCTGAAACAAATATAAATATCTTTAACCAAAAATACAACCCATCAATCAACAATCAACTAATAAATTTAGCATTAAATCCAAAAAATAAAGAAAAAAAAACTTTAACTTTGTTAACAAATTGGACTCTTTTAAAGCGGAGTGGACATTAAAAACATATCATAAATATTTTCAAAAATCATGTCAAGGAGAAAAGGTTTAAATTTGAGTAAGAATTTATGACCTGATGCCTGTAATTCCAATAGCTATTAGATCCAGCAATCAAGACTGCCCATCTGGTGCCTACAACTTCATCATAAGATCCCAGTGCTTAGCTACAGGTTTTTTTATTTAGCATAATTGAAAATTTGAAATATATAAAATTTTTATTTCATTGAAAAAATAGTATGCTAAGATATAAATAATTAAAACAAATTCAATCTAAGAATTTACATATTAAAGAAAAGTAAGATATAATACATAAAATTTATTGAATTGATCACAATTTGTAAACTATACATACCACATTTTTACAAAGGGCTTACCTAAAATAATCTAGCTAGCTCAAGTAGTATTGCTTTGAGTTTGGATGCTCCATTTTTTTTAGCTTATACTAATCTTCTTATGCTTATTCCAATAAGCATCAAATCAAGAGTTTCAATAGCTGACCAAAATGAACACCAAACTTCAGCTTAAGATCAAGATTTTAATCTTCATGCTTAAAAAATTATTTTTCTAAAAACTTTGAAAGATATATAAATACATGTGTGCGTGTGTGTGTGTGTATGTGTGCAACTTTAGCAATTTCAAGACCCAGACCAATGCAAGAATAGGAAGAAGATATGATTACAGCCACAACCGAGAGCCAACATATATGATTATCCTTCATAAACTTGTAGAAACAACTACAAACATATATTGTAATTCTGTACGATATTCAAAAGTGCAGTAATTTTTTAACCATGACAACAATTTAACTTTTAAGGTGTTGGACTTTAAAAACTCAACTATATACAAAGAAAGCACCAGGGCTTGATCATTAACTTACCCCACACGTGCATTGTTTGGCAAACTTTGGTAGTTGCGTTTTGCCTTTGAAGCCTCCAAAAATCGATCATAAGATTTGACACCTCTTAAATAACTCAATGGAGAGGTAGCAACAGCGGGCTTGGATGAATCCCCAATAGTACACTCAGTCCCCATCGCTGTATATCCAAAATGATGCTCATCAAATCCATGAACATTCATTCTTGTAATCTTGTATGCACAACTTTATTAAAGTTATGAAAAAGGGAAAATTTTATTCTTTTTATATTAAAAAAATGAAACTGAAAAACCAGAGGCAAAGAGTAACAGAAAAGGACTTACCGTATTGGTAAACAAAATGCCTCACGAAGAACTTCAAGGTTTCCAGCACACTGAAAGCTGTAATCTGCAGCTCCATTTATCATAGCCCCGATTTTCTGCAGTCACCATTTTCACTAAAATCACTAGCAGAAATTTCATAATTGTATGAAAACAATATTTTATGGCTGTAATTGCTCTACATATTGAAATAACTCTAACGTCAAGAACTTTTGTAGTTCACTTTCACCATATAGTTCATGATCAATGGAAATGCTTGAAGTTCAAATTGTTTCAATGCTTGTTCTTCCTGTTCCTCCTCCTTTCCAAATGCCCAAGCAGACTATAATTTTTCCCCAAGGTTTCCACTCTTTTAGTTGATGCCTTTCCTCTTCACTATTTTGAATTCAATGGCAGTAACCTTATCACTACCAGATATTAGACCTTCTGAGCAGCTTTTAAAAGGCTTGTGCAGAGTCATATATTAGCTTATTGGTCAATGATGCATTTCTTGATCCTAAACAAAAATTGATAAGAGTTTCACTGACTTTCTATTAGAATGGGTTATGATACTAATAACCTTGTATGTTCATCCAAGACACAACAACTAACAGAAACAAATGAATTTACTGCTGAATAAGGTTAGCTTTTATTATTTATTACATTGTATAAAGATTGCCTTGTTTATTTTCTTAGTGACTCAGAAATGTTGGTGAATTTGACAAGCCAATGTCATATGATTGACAAGGCCACTGTATGAATTGAAAGGAATTTGATATCGATTTTTTGTACTTATCTAAGCCAAAAATGTTTCTCATCTTCTTTGTTTTATTGGCGCAATTTCAATCGAAATTAGGCATCGAGGAAAAAAGACTTTTCATGTTGATGTGATATGTGTTTCAATGAGGCATGGTTTGGTTTGTATTATGAGTTTAGATGACCTAAGAAAAACCCACATCAAACTAACCTAAGAATCCCAACACCCAATGATCAGCTCAAAATTTGCAACCTAAATTAAAAACTCTTCATGCAGAGAAAGCAAGAAGGGAAATTAATACAAAAATGCTTTAAATACTGTATAAAAGTAAATAAGGAAATGCAGCAAATTAATTAAATAAAAAACCTGAAGAGGAAAATATGGATGATGGGGATAAAGGCGAGACTTGATAGGACTCTAACAACAACTTTACAGGGGATCTATTCTTCTTTTCCTTCTTTTTGCCGCAGTAATGAATCATCTCTCCTAGGAATAAAAGAAAACTACTACAATGAATCATCAACAGAAATGCAAGCTATTAAATGTATAAAAAAATCTAAAAATGACTAAACTATTAAAAAAGTTAGACTCACACGCTTGCATCTTCACGACCAAGAAGCTTAACAGAGTACCGGATCTTGGAGAAACCAAACAACCCTCAAAATGCTCATCAAGGCCCATAATCCGACCCGGCCACCATGAACCGTTCTGCGTCGGACCCAAACCAAGCTACCCACCGACGCATCAATGGCCTTTATGTTGGGCTTATCAGGGCCCCCATCATAAACCCCCTCCAACAAAAAACCTCCTAAGAAAATTAATCTTAAAAAACCTTGATCTTTAAAAGTCAATCCTTAAACTCCATTTGAAGCAAACCCAATACTCCAAAGTCACCAAAAAATGTTGATTGCTTGAACAAATGCATACGTTTCTTAAAACTTGAAAAACTATTTTAAAAAAGTAAAAAAAAAAGTCAATAACAAAAACCTTAATCCTACATGCAACTAAACACCCAGAAAAGATACAAAGAAAAACCCAAAAACCCAGAAAAGAAAATGGCTTAAAAGAGAGATAAAAACCTAAACTCCAAGGGGTTTATGTACGAAAAAGGATCTAGGTGGTGAAGACAAAGCCCAGTTTTTTTTTTCGGCCTGAATAAAAGAAAATACAAAGCCCAGTTTAAACGACAACAAAAAAAAAAATCTGAAGAAAATTTTTTTCTTTTCTTGTTTTGAAAATCACATTTTTGGTTCCCTCTTCCACTTTTCAAAACTTGAGAAAACAATAAATTAAGTAAAATAAAGAGAATGTGAAAAAAAATAAACCCACGTTCTTGCACAAACCAAAACCATCCACTGATTCAATTCAACCATGCCAAAATGAAAAGCAAGATTTAAAACTAACAAAACCTCTCTTACAGAAACCGAAAGACATTTCGATTGCATCACTACGAACGAAGACGATTCCAACCACCCATAACAGGAGAAGAATCACACTGACCACGAGACGGGTCATGATTTGGCCAAGCTTTGATTCTTTTTTTTTTTTTCCGACTCCCCCGTAAGATTTTGTAGAAGCTTCTCGCTTCAAACTTTGGAGAAGCTTCTGGTAAAAGATTCTTCCAAAATTACCGCTTAATTTGTTTTGTTTTACATTGCTGTCTGTCCATTTAATAAAGAATTGGGATAACTTTTATAAGAAGTATGATTATTATTATTATTATTAATGTACAACTCTATATTTTTTAAATAATTGAACATTTTTTTTTTTGAAGGATATGAAATTGAGCAATTGAATCAGATATAATTTAGTGTTTTTATTTACGTAATTTTGAATAACTTTTTTTTATGTGTCCTTACTTTTACATAACTAAGAAATCATTAATAGAAAAATATGAAAAAAAAAATTCAAAACTAATTATTAGTTGTATTTTATAGAGTTAATTATGCAAGATAGTGTGACATATACTATACTCCATTTATGCAAAATATTTATGAAGCAATAATATCTTGTCGACTAAAATTTCTAATCGAACTTTTATGAAGCAACGTTAGATGTGAAGTGATCAAGTGGAAAAATAATCAAATCCTTTGAGTATTCTTCAATGTCATTGGAAATGTGTCTTTGAAATCCTTTTCATTATTTTCCGCAACGTCTCCCTGCTATATTTTACTTTCTTTTTCTTTTTTTTCATCTATATTCTATGATTAATTTTGTTTAAAGCAATGTAGCCACAAGAAAATTCCATTGATGCAAACAAAGTGACATGAGAAAAAGGGAGAGAAAAACAGTATCATGATTTTACAAATTGCTTAGAAAATCTGTAAGAACAAACAGCAACTACTCTTCATCTTCATCTGTAACAAATTTACCAGTCCCGGGATTTATAGCAGCAAAGAAGAAGAAGGCAACGTTGAACAAGACAAGGGGTTCGATATCGTTAATGGGAATTCCTGTCTCAATGTTTAGTTGTGCTAGTGCTCCCTTCCCTGTAATAATTTCTCCTATCAATGAGAAGGCAATGCCCAGCTGAGCCAATCTTCCCACAAAGAGCTCATTTGCCTTTGTGAATCCAAACAATGGACCTGAAAACAAACCAAAACTTCCTTTAGAACACAAGCCATGCCATGGCACATATTGATATTTTAAATATGGCACAATGCATACCTCCTTCCTTGAGACCCAATGCGCCCCTGATGCCTTTGCCAGGAGGGATAACTGCCCCTTCAACCCCTGTAGGAGGGTCATCAACAAAGCTACCTCGGTCACCCAAAGCTCCTATTGCTCCAAGGAGGGTGAAAAGAATGAAGAAGAGAAGAAGGGGTTCAGCTTCATAAATTGGAATTCCAGTCTCCAGGTTCAACTGTGCTAGAATTCCTTTTCCTGTGATTGCTTCACCCAACAAGGATGCCTGCAATATTGCACCAAAACCCCTATGTTATCATAGGCACAATTGCATACGAAACATTTATTTAGTAAATGGTACATGATTCAAGCAGTCTCGAATTCCTCTTTTCCGAATCCCAAAACAAGTACGTTTATTTGCGCATTACAATTTTAGACGATAATTCAACATTGCAATTTGGCTCCTGGAAATTAATATATCACTCTACCACTCTACCCTGCTTGTATTCTGTTTTTTAATTGCCAAGAATAAAGTGGGACAAGCTAACATTTCTAACAGAACGGCACCAAGCCTTAAAAACAATGTATTTGAACAATTAAAGCAGCTCTCTTAACTCAAGTCACTAGTTGATCATAGAATGAATTACTTATTTCACTCACCACAAACAAAAATTTTCTTTGACTAAACAAATAATTTGCAGACTTATAATTGTGAAAAATGAAATCATTTTAAGCAAATTGTTAATAATTTTAGTAAATAGATACGAAACAGCAACCGCTGCTAATACTTTTAAGCAAAAGTTTGTAGCTATTAAAAATCCATCCAACATTAAGGAAAAACAATGAAGAAAATAAAATCAAACATATTGCTTGCTTGAAAAGAGATTCTTAAGGAAATTACTTACAGCAAAGCCAAGCATGGCAACACGTCCCACAAAGAGCTCATTTTGCTTGGTAAAACCAATCCCTCCTGAGGTGCCAAAGATTCCATCTTCAACCTTTGGCTTTGGCTTTGGTTCAACCTTTTGAAGTACAAAAAAGTGTATCATTAAAAAATCAAGTTAAACCCCATGAAAATATAGAAATGACAAGCAAAAAAAAAACCCAGAAGAGAATTTAAAAGAATTACCTTCTTGGGAGCTGCTTTGGTCCTTGATTTGAAGACTGCAAAAGTGGTAAAAGCTTTAGATGAAGTAGCAACTCCATTAGAGAGTGGATTGAATAAGAAATGAGAGAAGGGTTTAGGCTTTAATCCTTGAGCTTGGAAATGGAGTAAAGGGAGGTCTCGCTTCAAGTTCACTACATGGCTAGTTGAAACACAAGTACTAGACATGAGCAGCATGGTTTGAGCCATGGATTAATTTTTTTTCTCCGAGATATCTTTTTGATGGTGGAGAAATATATTTGGCTTTTAAAACTTTTCCTTTTCTATTTCTTTTAACGCTTCGGACTTGTCCATTTAAAGGACCGAGATGTGGATGCTGTGCGAGAGCTAGTGACAGGCAATGGGATTGCCCACGTCGTTCTGTACTTGTTTTTTGTGTTGGGAGATAATTCCATGCATATATAAGAAATTTAGAAATTATTTTTCTTCAATCAAAACAATCTAGAAATTTAGAGCCACAAAGTTTTTGCAGCCCTATATCTAAGGGAAAATTATTTCTTTGTGGCATCAGTATGATGCTAGACCATGTTTAAATCTTTGTTATCAATTTAGTTATAGGTGGAGCTACATTCTTGTTTTTTGGTAATTACAATATTCTCTATAAAATACAAATTTAATTTATCTATAACCAAGAATAAGATTGAATTTAATAGTTTTTTAATTTAAATTTAAATTTAATTAATTTATATAATTATTTTAAAATTTAATAAATTTGATATTTAAATTTCAATATTTATAATTTCTTTACCTATTATCAATTACTGTAACTTTTTTAAAAATTTCATTTTTAATTATGTAGAGATTAAAAGTTAACTTTGAAAGTTAAAGGGTTTCTTTTCCGTTGCCAAGAAGTTAAAAGTTGAAATATCCCTTTGAAAAGAATGCACGACAAAGTTGCCTACAAGTACATATAATTTAAATAAAAGATATTTTAATAAAAATTGTAATACTAACTTCAATTATATCTTCATCAGCGTTTGTCTGCAGTAAGATCATAATATATCAATTTTATTTTAAAGTTATAAGATATGATATTTCATAGTATATCATGATAAATTGTAAAATAATATAACTATTAAAAAAATAACAACTTAGTAGGTAAATATTAAAAAAGTATACATAATTTTATTTTATTTATTAATTTAACAAATAAAAATTATATATTTTTTAATTTTATAATATTAATTTATTTTATGAAATCAACTTAATTAATTACGTTTAAAAATATTTTTATATTTTTTTATCATTACATTTAGAGTTATTAAATCTTTTTTAAAGGATAAAACATTTCAAACTCATTTTACATTTAATGATATGAATTTTATAATTATTTTTATCTTTTTATGTTAATAATTTTTTAATTTAGAATCTTTTAATTCAAAAATATCAATTCTTTTATATTGTCAAGTTAATTATTTACTTTAATTTTTTGTTTAGCTTGTTCTTATTTTTTGTTTTATTTAAAATTATCATAGCTTTTTTTAAGGAATTACGACATCAAATGATATTAATTTTACGATTATTTTTTTTTTTTTACTTTTTTACATTAACACCTATTTTTTAATTTGTAATTATTTTTTATTTATAATAATAATTTTTTACGTTATCAATTTAATTATTTACATTATAATAATATGTTTTTATACTTGTTCTTATATTTTATTACGTTTAGAATTATCACAATTTCTTAAGTCGTTACAACACTTTTAATACACATTATGTCAAATGATACAAATTTTACGTTACTTTCATATTTTTATGTAAACAATGTTTTTTTATTGAATTATTTTTTTATTTATAATAATAATTTTTTTATGTTATCAATTTAATTATTTATGCTAAAATAATATTTTTTTACGCTTGTTCTTATACTTTATTACGTTTAGAATTATTACAACTTTTCCTTAGAGTATTACAATAGTACATCAAATGATATTAATTTTTCGACTATTCTTACATTTTTACGTTACAATATTTTTAACACATTTTATATTAAATTATACTAATTTTACAGCTATTCTCACAGTTTCATATTAACAGTTATTTTTAGATTTAGAATTGTTTTTTGTTTATAATAATAATTTTTATATTATCAATTTAATTATTTGCGTCACAATAAAATCTATTACATTTGTTCTTACATTTTATTTTATTTAGAATTATCACATCTTTTTCTTAAGTATCACAACACTTCAAACATATTTTAAACCAAATTATACGAATTTTATGATTATTTTCATCTTTTTACTTTAACACTTATTTTTTTATTTACAGTTATTTTTATTTATAATACTAATTTTTTTACGTTTCAATTTTATTACATTTCAATAATATCTTTTTACGTTTGTTGTTACTTTTCAGTACATTTAAAATTATTACAATTTTTTTTGTTAACATGTAACGATATTTATAACCATTTTACATAAAATAATATTAATTTTATGATTATTTTTACTATTTTATGTTAACTCTTATTTTTTTTGTTTAAAATTATTTTTTATTTGTAATAATAATTTTTTTACATTATCAACTTAATTATTTATATTATAATAATATATTTTTACGTTTGTTGCTACCTTTCATTATGTTTAAGATTATTATAACTTTTTCTTAAAGATATTATGATATTTCTAACATTTTATACTAAATGATATCATTTTTATAATTACTCTCACATTTTTTATATTAACACTTACTTTTTTGTTTAGAATTATTATTTATTTATATTAATAATTATTTTATATTGCCAAAAGTATTATTTATGTTACAATAATATTTTTTATACTTGTTCTTACTTTTTGTTACATTTAGAATTATTATAATTTTTTATTAAGGTGTTATGAGGCTTTTAATCCAATTTACATTATATGACACCAATTTTACAATTATTACATTATGACATTGTAATATATTTTACACCAAATAATTTTAAATTTTTAATTATTCTTATATTTTTATGGTAACACGTATTTTTTGTTTAGAATTATTTTTTATTTATAATAATAATATTTTTATATTGTCAACTTATATTTATGTTATCCTAAAATTTTTTGCACTTGTTGTTATTTTTTATTATGTTTAAAATTATCACAAGTTTTTCTTAAAGTATTACAATGCTTTTAATATATTTTTCACCAAATGATATCAATTTTACAATTATTTTCACTTGTTTACATTAACACTTATTTTTTGATTGAATTGTTTTTTTATTTATAATACTAATTTTTCTACGTTACCAATTTATTACATTTTAATAATATCTTTTTACATTTATTATTAATTTTCATTACATTTAGAATTATTACAATTTTTTTCTTAAGGTGTAACAATTCTTCTAACTGTTTTATGTTAAATAATATCAATTTTATTATTATTCTCACTATTTTATATTAATTCTTAACTTTTTACTTAAAATTATTTTTTATTTGTATTAATAGTTATTTTATATTGTCAACTTAATTATTTATATTCTAATAATATCTTTTTACGCTTATTGTTACTTTTCATTATATTTAGAAGTACTATAACTTTTTTCTTAAAAGTGTTACAATATTTTTAACCATTTTATACCAAATAATATCAATATTATGATTACTTTCACTTTTTTATACTAATACTTTTTTTTAATTATTAATTATTAATTATTTATAATTCTTTTATGTTATCAAAAATATTATTTATGTTATAATAATATTTTTTTACACATGGTGTTACTTTTTATTAAATTTAAATTTATCACAACTCTTTGATGGGGTATTACAACAATTCTAATTCAATTTATGCTAAGTGATACAAATTTTATAATTATTATTACGTTTTTATGGTACGACACTTCTAATCCTAACGCCAAATGTTTCTTATTTTATAATTACTCTTATTTTTTTACGTTAATACTTTTTTGTTTAGAATTATTTTTAATTATAATAATAAAATTTTTATATTGTCTACTTAATTATTTATATTATAAAGAAACTTATTGTTACCTTTCATTATGTTTAGAATTATCATAACTTTTTTTTTAAAATGTTACAATACTTTTAACCATTTTATGCGCTAAAATATCAATTTTATGATTATTTTTATCTTTTTATGTTAACACCTATTTTTTGGTGTAAGATTATTTTTTATTTATAATATTAATTTTTTAATTACCAATTTAATGATTTATGTTTTAATAATATTTTTTTTACATTTTTTATTTTTCATTACGTTTAAAATTATCACAATGTTTTATCAAGGTGTAATGATATTATAACAATTTTACATCAAATTATACTAATTTTACGATTATTCTTACTTTGTTACATTAACTTTTTTTGTTTAAATTTATTTTTTTATTTATAATATTATTTCTTTTACATTACTAACTTAATTATTGTTGTTACAATAATATGTTTTTATACCTGGTGTTGCTTTTCATTACATTTATAATTATTACAACTCCTTGTTATATTGTTATAACACTTCTAACTCATTTTATATTAAGTGACATCAATTTTAAGATTATTATCACTTTTTTATATTAACACTTATTTATTGATTAAGAATTATTTTTTGGGTTTGATATAATAATTTTTTTACATTGTCAACTTAATTATTTATGTTACAATAATTTTTTTTACTCTTATTCTTATCTTCATTACATTTAAAATTATCATAACTTTATCTTAAGGTGTTATAACAATTTTAACATATTTTATTCTAAATGATACCAATTTTATGATAATTCTCACTTTTTAAAGTTAATCAATTTTCAATTAAAAAATTTTCAATATTATATTATCTTATCTTTTTTTAAAGAATTTTAAAAAAATTGAATTTATCAATTAAAAAAATTATTTTATTTCATAAAATAATATTTAATGTAATTAATTAAAATTAAATTAACAGGTTAACAAATAATTAATTATTTTTATAATTAAAAAATTAATAATTTATATTAATTCTTTATACGTAACTTTATAATAAAATTAAAAAGTCTAAATTTACCGCAAAATTTTTCTATTCAACGCAAACTTAGCAACACTACTAATTTTCAGTTTGTTGTAGCTTCGATTCCGATCTTGTTGATATGATTCACGTAAGATTCTGTCTGCAAAAAATCTGTGGTTAAGATGCAAAGTGATCTAGACAAAAGCCGGCAACGTTGCCACATGTCACGGAGTTTACCTTGGATCGCATTCTCATTCTGACTTGGCTAGTTGGCCGAAACCGAGTCAATGCGCCCGGTTGTTGGAGATGTGAGCCACAC